CTAAATCCAAAGTACAAATTAACTATTAAATCCAAAGTACAATTTAACTACTAAATTTAAATTTATCTGTTAATGCAATTTCAGGCCATATGAAATTCTAATATGTAACAAGTCCAGGTTGTGGGGTCAGAAGTGGTTTTTGTCTAGGACTGAGCCATTGTTTTTGGCATTTAATATTTGCAAAGAGAATCCATTTTTATCACCGGTGACTATTCTGTACAAAAATGGTTCATGTGCATTACACGCCAGAAGAGACGAAGAATGTTCACACATTGGAAACAATCATCGGAGAGTTCATGAGGCACCCAAATACCTTCTTTAAGGAGTTTTCCCATATTCCTTATGTGTTTACGTATTGTTTCACGATAGACATGCAATTTCAGGGCCATTTCCCAGGTTAGATTCAACAAGCGTCTTCAGAGCATCAATATCAATTCCAACATGTCGGCTCCTGCCACAACAGTTTTTAAGGCTAAAGTTAACTAAACGAAATTTGCTGAACCATCACTGACACTTGCGAACGTTCAAAACATTTCCATAAACTTCTTTGATATACTTTTTGGCTACAGGAGTTGTTTCCCTTCTTGTATTCAAACAACATTACATGCCAAATGTGTGTCTCATCGTGTGCCATCACTATAAGGGATTAGAGTATACTAAGCTTTACACATTATATAGGCTACACTAACGTGATGTTTAGGTGGGTCATTTAAGTATTATACGTGATGTATGTTTTTTGGGGGGTGGTTAATGAAAGTGTCCCAAAATGCGACATTAATTTCTTGATAACCTAATACTAATGAATGTAGGGATTAATGAGAGAGGATAAAGCTTCATGCATGAATAGAAAAATAAAACTATAGGAAATATACAGTACTTTTAAGACTGCCATTCTAAATACCAATAACAATTAATCCTATAACTGCTATATATTTCTGTTTTGTCCATACACATGTACAGACAACTTACCACATATATAAACTGTTTATTTTAACTGAATGTAACAGAAAAACTTCTCAAACTTACTGTCTGACAGAACTTATCTTTAACTATAACCCACACTTTTCACAATATAGTCAAAAGTACGGCTGGTTCATATTTTTATTTAAAAGGGAGTTTTACTGCAGACAAACTTTTAACAGTTAAACCAACAAGTGATATTCTTTGTCTGTGCAAAACTTTTTTCATGCTAGAGGTAAATGAATGTGCATGGGGCCAGTCCATAGTCCTACACCATAATGGAGAAGTAATGTTGGCAGTAATTCTGAACTTACAAAGTGTATTTTCACAAAATGTAGCAAGCTGTCGGTCAATAGTACAAATTTGTTGTACATAAAAATCAGATGTATTGATAAAGATTTTGTATTAAAGATGTGTTTGTGAAATGCAAAAGTCAGTCTGACTCAGAATCTGATGACTTGGAATGCTAGATGATGTTCGTGTGAAAATAAGAAAATACTTTTGTTCCTCGTACAGTTTGTAAGTTGCACATACATAACCTCTACAATCTCCTAAATGCATATCTAAAGATTTTGTCAGTATCCCTGTATATTCTACCTAATATTTTCTGTACTCTGAAACATTTGTGAAATCAACAATAAAGGATAATATGAACTCCAACATCAAATGCATAATACCATGTTGAATGACCGCTCTGTACAATGTTGGGGCATGCACATTTGACCCCCACCCATGCAAATAAGGTTAATGATGCAAGGGTCATCTGAAATTAAGTAAAACTAAAGAGGAAGGAGCTTTACTTTTTTTTTTGTTTTATCACAGTATATCCAGCAGAGAATAGCTATTTTCTTGTCTCAATTTAGTCCAACAATGTATATAACCTTTATTGTGTTAACTGGCAGGAATAATTTGAACCTGAAAAACAAATATCAATAGCAACAAGATTTTGGTAACAATGACTTTAGAAAATAAAAATGAAACATTTAAATTTTAAAGTAATACAAATCAACCTTGTTGGTTCATCTAGAAATATAACTGGTGGGTTGTTGACAAGTTCTTGAGCTATGGAAAGACGCTTGCGCTGGCCACCAGAGAGGCAGGAAGTTCTTGTTTTTGCACAGTCGTGTAATCCAAGAGCAAGAATTATATCAGAAACCTGGGAGAGAAAACATAATTTATGCATATTAGTATACAATCATAAGATGAAGCTAAAATATAAATTTTGATACACGGCAAATAACGTGTAACCTACTGCTATTAACTTAATTCCCAGTATCAGTAACTTCATACATATTTTGGTATCTCTCTCAGATCAAGATTTCTTAAATTCTTTTTGATCTTCACCATAAAATAGTGTGGTTAATCTTTACACTTTGTTGTATTTGTAAGTAGAAAAACAGTAAATAAGTAGAAATTGTTAAGTATCACTTACTTTCTAGAAACTGAAGAATTTCCTTGAAGATATTTTATCAATCACTTGAGCATAACATATTCAGTTCCTGTATACGTATAATATGTATATTCTCTACTCTGAAACTGTTCTGATATCAACAATGAAGGATAACATGAAAATTCAAAATACTTTTCTCTAAATGTACATAAAAACAACATTGAGATTTTATGAGAAAAAAAAAAAACTTATGGTCAAACACAAGTTTATATATTACTAATACTTTCTGGTATTATTAACCTTAAGTTTATACATCTATAATTTCAAATTTAATTGGATCCCCATACCCTAAGCACAGTACATTTCAGTACCTATATTTTACACAGCCATAGGTTATATTTTATGTACATTTTCTTTTTTGTGGTTTATAAACAAAAAAGTAGCAGTGGGTTTTTATTTTTGTGGAAGCAAAAAATATATATATATATCATATTTTTAGGTGCATTTCTTTATTAAATTGCAAAAAATATTTGATAATCTAATTAGTATCAATATATTTTGATTTTAATTCTAAACTAATGTTTATAGTAATTAATGTATAACTTACAATTGACTTTTTTTGGCTAGCAGAAACAGATGTTGTAATTTTGAGATTAGCAGCAACCATCAAAGCTTCTTCTACTGTTAACTGTGGTAGCAGGAAGTCATACTGCATGATGTAACTTGCAAGCCTACGGAAAGATCGAAGGTCTCTCTGGTGGTGGTTCACTAAAATATCCCCTTTGACTTTTTTCCAACTGAAAAATAAACAAATCTTTCAATTTTGAAAACTAAATGTGTACAAATATAAAGATATAAAATAAAACAAGAAACATATCTACACCATGAACTAAACTTCAAAATATTCCAATAATCTGTATTCCTTCCTATCTAGAAATAACTCTAAAGTATGATCAATACTATGATGTACGCATGTATGTCATAGAGTGACATTTGGACAGAAAAAACTACAAATACAGTGTTATTCAAATATTCACCCCATATGAAATTACACAGTAAACTGTAAATTCACAAAGTACCAATCTAAACTCTATAATATAGCTGAGTGATTAGTGGAATTTGTTAACTGATTAATTGTCTGCCTCATTAATCGGTTACATTTAACTAATTAATTTTTCTTTTCACATTCCTCAGACCTTTTTCTTTATTTCCTTTTTTTTTTTGAAGTCATTTTTGAGGTACCCTTTGTTTACTATGATACATTTTCTGATAATTTCCATTTGTGCATCTTGTTAAAAAAGTACTTTGGCTAAAATTTTGGGCACAATTAGTTTTTAAAGAAAATCCAAACATTTACTACTTAGTAAATCACTGACATTGGGAAGAACACATGGTCACCATTTTCTTTATTTTTAAAATATACAGTAATACCTTATCAATCTTGTGTGATTGTAAATCAAATAAATGGATGACAAAAAATTAAACATGTTTTACTATCACTGATACAGGTAATATTTTTTTTAAAAAAACATATCATGATTGTAATTAGAAAATACCAAGTAGCCAGTTACACAATTTATTTAGGTAAGTTGTTTGAATAAGGTAAACAGGAAAATAATATTCAATAAATAAGGGTTTGAGTAATCTGTAGCTTCTAAGCAGATACGAGTTAACATACAAACATTTTCTCGACTTTCCTAAATCTTCAAAATTTCTCACTGAATACCTTTTGTCAATGTTTCAATATTACAGGAGCTTCGACTAGAAACTTTCCCAGAAAACCAAAAATTACTTCTCGAAGCACTTTATTTATTCTACTATGAAGTGAAAGGTCTAATTCCGTCTCTATCCAATCATAATTAAAGGTTTCTTTATATATTTTTTCCAAAGCTGTTTTTCATTAGTAAATGATCAAATCACTTGGTATGAAGTCATAAGAGTGGCAACCAAGTACCATGTGAAAGACAAGGAAAATGCTAGAAAATCAAGAAATGGATATTTTCAAGGAGTTACAGTTTCTTATAAAACAAACAGCTATTCTTTTGGATACGCAAAAACTGTAAAAAAAAATTGACAAATATATTGTTTACAGGAGAAACTCCTAGGAGCTGTGTGTGCAGAAATGATAATTTGTATATTTTGTTATTTTTCTTCATGAATTAAATGAAATAAATATTAGAAAATGACAAAATATCTATTGTAAAATATTTCTGAGTTAAAATATAGTTATAAAGAAATTATGAAATTGACTTAAAAAATTGGGGCTCAATGACATGTAACATAGCCAAAAATAATTTCATCTGACAAAAATGATAGTAAAAAAAGATGAAAAGCCAGAGGAAACTCTATCTTCAAGTACAATAGTTTAGGATAAGTTACTTTTTTTTAAAAATCCTAAACTGTTGTACATGAAAATATATCATACATGTAACTTAGTACAAAACCTATAACACATTGAAAATGTGAATAATAGCATTCATGAATTTCTTCCTAAACATTTCCACAATATTACTTTTCTAAAACTGATAAATCTTTGTGACATTTTCATACAACTTAATAAACTTTATTACCTAACAAGAAGAACCTCACAAAGAAAATATTTTAAAAAACACAACTAGTTTCACTCATAGACCAACACCAGGTTTTAGATAAATGAATGTCTTTCATCCTTGGAAATAAAATTATTTTTCAATACAACTGCAAATATACAGAAGATTTAACCAACAATACAGGTCTTCATATAAAAAATATACGAATTTGGAGATCTCTAGATGACTAATTTTAAGTACTTTCAAACAAATATAAAAAAATATTAATTGTAAAACCTTTCTGGTGACTAATATATATCTTTTTTTATGTTTTAAAAATGTTTAAAATAAATATTTCATCTAAAAAGCTCTGATATTTATTTTATTATCTGAAAATGTTTTAGTACCCTCAAAAGAGCACTAAGTTGTTTAAATGATGTTGTACCTTGTGACATTGATTATAAATCAGAAAAAAAGACTAAAACACAACAGAAACTACAGAGAGTAATAGTAGGTACAGGTTAACACTGGTTACATACACTTCTTGTGATTGAGTTTACAATTTTATATGAACAAAACTATATCAAATCAATAAATCACATGGTGTTGAACAAAACCCACACAACTACATTCAGGTGATAAAGCATGTAGATACTGTAGATGCATCATCACTGTACAAAAGGACATTATATATAACAGCATGTGCCTCTTTTACTTGTTAATAGTGAAAGAGAATAATTATCATAGTTATAAAATTAGTCATAATTTTGTAGACAAAAATGTATTATTTTGAATCAGTTAAATGTCAATTCCACACATCTTTAACTCTCTAACTTTATTAGATGTTTTTCATTGCACATTAGGTCAGAAGAAAAAATTATTCTACATTTATGGTAACACTGTCAGGAAAAATTAAGATCACCATGCAGCATTTTTTTCAATTTTGTTTTTTTTTATTAAACATTACACTGTACATTATTATCAAAACAATGTTTTTCATGCATTCTGTTAAATCAAGAATTATGTTACTTCCAGCTTTTTGTATGTTTTTATGTTTTTAGCATATTTACTTCCCACAAGGTCTATTGGTTACAGATTGAAGTTCCTCTTTCTAATACACTGTTATCCAAAAAGACTTTTAATTAAAACACACTAGGGAAGTAGTAATTGTAGTTGATTTATGTGCACCATGCCAAATTGTCCTCTTAATAATGTTTTACAGTTTCTAATACAATTAACGATAATTATCATACACAAGTCAATTATCCATTTTCAAACAAACTACCACAATTCAAATTAACAAAACAATATGTGGATAAAGAATGCTGCTTGATGGGCATTTGTCCCATGATCAGAAAGTTTCAAATATCAAAAATGTCAGTGCCTATCAACTTCCACTAAAACACAAATTCAGGAGAGTAAGATGTGTGTTATTATAAATATAACATATACAATAACACATTGTAAAAAAAAGAAAATTTACAGCATATTTATCACTAGAGAATTAAGTTACTGAAATTGTAAATTATGACATAACACAATCTAAAAACAGCTTTACAACACCTTATTCTATATTACAGAATACAGTTATACATTGATATATTAGAACCATAAAATAACCTTAAAAAAACACTAAATGTATACTATATTTAACACAGTTTAACATAGAAGCACACAGTTCTAAGCCTATTGTCTTATGTATGTAGATCTACGGGTATAGCTGTATACATCAAAATCTGATTTGATTTTTAGAATATGTTATTTGTTTAGATGTGATGAGCCAAAACCTGTGAAACTGAATGAATTTAAATGATAAGCTGCTGATTTGAAACAAACATAAGCAGTAAAACGTGCATACATTTCCCAAAATATCATATAAAAAGTCAGACCATTAGGCTTATCTCAGGAAGAGAACTGCTTAATTTGACTAAATGTCTGCAATATTTTTAAGTATTCTCTACACAGGCATATCATTAGTCACTGAAATATAATATCTTTGATATTTTTAAGCCAACACATTTTATAGCCAAAGGAAACGGATTTGTATGGTTGCTCTTAAATTTCTTAGAAAACTAAAAGAAATATAAAAGGATTGCCTTTATAATATTTAAAGAAAGTATCTCACATGCAGATAAATATAGATTTATTTTTTAATACCTAAGATATAAACTTTCCTTAGTAACATATAACATCACTTTTTTTATTTTTTGTTCCGACAGAGTATGAATCAAATCCAGTTTGTTAGAAGATGGTTATGCCCCAAATCTGGATATAGTTGAAATTTAAGGAAATGCACAAAAATAATTCATAACTTACATATATCCTGCCAAAATGTTCATCAAAGTTGATTTTCCTGCCCCTGATGGTCCCATAATAGCTGTCAATTCTCCACTAACAATTTCACCAGATATTCCATTTATTATGGTTTTGTGTCCTGTACAAAATTTGAAATGTATCTAGTTTTAGCAATTGTAATCTAGATCCTCATTCACTAAAATGTTTATATTTTAATTATTTATTTGAGTATTATCAAATGCAATAAAAAATTGTGTGACAAGCCTGAATTGTGTAAAAAAAAACTACATTTAAGTCAAATCTCTGACTGACTACAAACCTGGTTTATCACTGTAGCATGCATTTGCATCATACCAAACGATTAAAAAAATTTCAAAGAAATTATTACTCATTTTGTCATATGCAGATTATTCTAAGTCTGAAGGCCATTCTTTAATTTCCTTGCTGAAATGAGCATGTAATGCATCACCATAATCTAACCTTTATCTATATTTGAGAGGAAAAATTCATCTACAAATTCACAATGTTAAATAAACAACTTAAAAAATACAAAACACTACACCATAAGGAAGGAGAAGTAAAAAAACTTCCCTTGAACTTATTACATCATCTGCCCATGACCTATCAGAAACAAGCAGAAAATTCAAAATAGATGGTACTGTTATACAAAAAAACAAGGCCTTGGGGATTCACTTAATCCTACACCAAAAGTACATATCTAAAACTACACAAACAGCAGTAAACACAGAAAACTTTAGCAGAAAAAAAAACTCATACAAACCAGCAGGAATAACTATAAACAACCACAGTAACTATCATGGATGACATGTACAGGACTGTAGTCAACCACTTTTTTTTCAACACTCTTGACATGAGTATAATAGGAGGAATTAATTTTCTATGCAGCCATAATCTAGAGAGTTAAAAAATGTTTATTGAATAAACAGAAATGTGCTACAAAATGAGTTTGGGAGAAATTCACTCCACAGCTCCAGGACAAATGTACATTAACTTGAAGGACTACAAAAATATTTAATATAAAAACATGATAGTCCAATGTGAAGATGCGAGGTTAGGGTACTTTAACATATAACATCTTCAAAAACTAACATAACACTTTGAAATTCAAGAAGTGAAAGGCAGTACTGATACCAAAGCCATTTCATAAACTTTGGAAATCAACTAATAATAAGAATTTCCACTTATGCATCCCACAAATGAATGCTAAACATCACAACAAATATATCTGGCTACAATTATAGGAAATCCAATCGAGCAGAAAAAGAAACAAGCATCAAGTATTTGTGACGCTCTAAAATACTGAGAGAGACGGATTGTGAAGAACGAGTTTAGAAGGTGTAAAGTATATAAAGAAAAAAGTCATATCAATCATCTGAAAGAACCTAAATATACTGCATATCCATTTAGCTGTTATACCTTTTAAAACTGAAAATCAAAAGCTGTACATAGCATTAAGCAGGCAGGTTTCTGACTGGGCAAAAAACACTTCCACTAATGGGATCACTATAGCCAAGCAAGGATGTGATAAAAGAAGACTGTATGCCTTCCCTTTCCTGACAATATCAAGATCACAGCCATTATAACAATGCTTCAGGCAAAACTTGTGGATTTGCATAGTAAATAGGAAGTACATGAATCCTGACCACATCTCACCAAATTCTTATGCATCCTTAGCTTTCACCAGGGGAAATAATAAGGTACCTGTTGACAGAATAAAATTTGATCACAATTTTAACATGCCCCACTTTTTCATTTAGAAAACAAAATATTATTTTAAATATTGGACAAGGAATTTTATACCCACTCCACAGCACCAATTTTATGCCATTTAAAGTACTGTAGTAAATTAGGTACATAGACTCTGAAGTTACAAAGGAGTAGAATATTTACAAATTTAATCTCCATCTACTACAGACCATATTCAATGATCAATGAGTCAAGAAATAACAACACCTGGAAAGAGACAGAAAGTAACTTCCTCAGAAAAGGCATTCCTGCCAGGATAATAATTTCTGAAATCCAAATCAGTGGTTCAAGAAAAAAACCATTGAAAATTGAGTATTACCCTAAAACAACTTATTTGGCTAACCAATGATTGGGTATATGGTAAATAAAATGGATCAACTGGGAAAGCCAATTTGTTAATGTTATCACAGCAAGATCTCAAGAGCAAGAGCACAATTCATCACAAAGTACCTTTACTGAGACTCCTAAAAACATTTGGTTAGTGTGAGACAATAATCAACAGCCTTGATATTGCGTTAACTGTCCTAACTGACTCTAAATCTTGATGAGAGGTTTTTCTTTTTTATGTCCTAGGTGAGAAACAGCAGTTACTCTGATCACAGCCCACATCTTAGACAGGAAAGCTCTATATGGATACAATTATGGGATCTTCTGAGAAAATAAGGTCTGTGATGCATTAAGGACACATACATCCAAATTTTTCCCATCTGATACATGCAAAAGTAAAAAGCATGTTTGAAAAAATACAGCAAATTTCTCAAAGGGATGGAAATAGACAAAATATGGAATGTTGAATGCATCAACTACAGAAAATAATCCAATGAAGTGAATGTTGGTAAGAATGAGCCAACATTTAAGCCATTTGACAGAGAATCTGGCTTCTCTGAAAATGGACTAAACAACAGCCTACTGTGAAGCCATAGATGCTGAATATTGATTGGAAAAATAGCTGTTTGAGGCTGATGTAGATGTTCCCATGGTGGTGGTAATGGGATCATTTACCCATGAGAAAGACAACATAATAAGTGAAATCATGGTTGGATCAGCCAAAGAACAGTTATGAAGAGAACCTGACTCTTGGTTAAATGGCCTTTGGCTAATGCCAGTTGAAGATGACGAAGAAAAGGCATAAATGCAGTTTTTACTCGAGGCATCTACTGCCATTGAATCTTGATCCAAAACTAAAGACCACTGTTACAAAGCCATCAATCAACCAGCCATTAGCATAATCACTGACAATCAAAGAGAGAAGATTCCACTTTGTGAGAAGAAGCCAATGATCTTGGGAAATAAAATCTGCCAAAATGTTCAGTGTGCTTGGAACATGACATGCTCAAAGGTAAACATGCTGGAAATGAAGCCCCATAAAAAGAGAAACAAAAATAAAACAAATGTTGGAAGATTGAATACCACTTAAATTTTTGGTATATGCCATCACTGTGAAATTGTCTGTGTAAACCAATAAAATATGGTGATATAAAATTGAAGAAACTCTATACAAGCATGAAGCACCATCCACAGTTAAAATAAGTTGATGTAAGATGCTGCTTCCTGTGAAGTCCATGTACCAGAAAAATGCTGATTCTCCAACATAGAGAAATTTGAAAACTGATGCCTGAAATCGTAAGTTCTTGATTAAACCACAACTAAAAGACTTGAGATTAAATGGTATCTATGGTCAAACATCACTGAAAAGCAGCATTCCACTGGTGGGTAACACATCTGAGTGTGACTCTACGGAGTAACTTCACGAAGTGAAGCCATTATCCCCAAAGTAGAAAGAATGTCTCTTGCAGTTTGTATAAAAGATAGAAGTTTGCTAATACAAAACTCCAAGGGTTGACATGCTATAGGTGACACCAAGTAATACCACAAACTGTGATGATACAAAAAACCACATGAACAGGCTACTCTTTTTTTTTAATTCATGTGATATATGCAATGCTCCAAGTAATGAAAATTATAGTCATCATGGCATACATTGTTCTATTGAAGTGACTGTAAATATTAACTTAAGCACCTACAGGTGACAACCTGTGTGTTTGAAATACTTATTTTTCATATATAATTTAACAGGAGTCACTGGCATTTAGAAAATTACATGACCAATGTCAAATCTTTTAAAAAACTGCACCAGGTTGGCAAAAACACAGTTTCAGAGTATATGGCCTCCTGAATATTGTTTTTTGTCAGAGCACCAGAGGTTAAGGTGCCATATCTCAAAACTACACTACAAATTTGTCACAGTTTTAAAGAACAGTCACAGGTATCTCACCTCCTTTGCTACTCAAGACCATTAATATCCTGTAACACAAAATAGGCATATGCCACAAAAATAACCAATTAATCAAAATTAGTGTTTCTGATTATTACTGTTCTCAATTATTTCAACTATTCAAGTAATCAAAATATTTCCATTAAGATTGTTCATTATTATTTTCAATTAATTCAAGGTTGTTCAGCTTAATCAATTAATGTCAAGATTCCTAAGCATAATCAATTAATCAAACTTAGTGTTTCCAATTATTATTTTCATTTATTCTAAGTACTTAGATCTCATGTGAGAATAACTGATTAGTTGAATGTCAGCAATTAATGAACCTGATGATTAATTGATTATCAAATTCCACTAATAACATAGCTCTATCTGACATGGCAATAATCTTATCCGCTCTACAGTAAAATCTTTAGTAAATTTTGCACAGCTATTCTGCAATCTTGGCCATGGTGCTTAAAAAAGGTAACCTAGTGGCTTTTAATTTGCAGTGAACTTTTCATTAAAAAAAGGTATATACAGTAACATTTGTGATATAATTCAACATCACAGAATAGGTCATTCCACATTTGAATTTCCAGTAAATATTGAAATATTAAGGTACAAACTTACATAATTATGCAAAGGCATCTATATTTATGATGTTTGACCATATTGGCAAATTGATTGTTTGTTTTCAAGGCATAGCTGAGATGATTGGCATGGCACTGATAGTTACAGTGAGCATGATGTAATTCTACATTACACAGAAATATTATGTCCAAGCACTGTAATTTGCTAGTGTCTCAAAATTGAAAATTAGGTCACACATTTTCTTCAGGCAAATTAGGTGTGACCCCTTCCACTGCCTCCACCCCATTGGATAATGCTACTATCTTGGCTCGTAGGATTTCTTGCTGGCTTCTAAAGATTAGACATTTGACAACCCATGTATGATGCCATTTTCATGTAATCAAACAACTAAGATACAATCCAAAGAATATATTTACAAATATTGTCTTGCTAAATTAACAAAAAATTAAATATATTGTAATCTCATGTAAATTATAAATTTATAAAAGCTCTTACATTTTCATTTTAATATTGTATATCCATACACACACACACATATATATATAAAACTTTGCTATTCTTAAAGCCAGAAAGCTTACCTCTTTTATAGCCTTCTGAAACTGAGTAAGTCAGTTTTTTCCATTCCACATTAACAGCTGGCCTTTTTGGTAAACTACTCAAGTTGTGGCTGTCATAAGGCCAAGTTGGTGTTCTTCTTGGAGACATATGGACACATTTTTCTTGTGCACAAGATGTTAGATCACATTTAGCTACATTTGAACAGTTGCCATTGGTCTTACTATTCTGGTCACTGTCAACTGCTATCTTAACATGTTGAGTGATTGGCTCTGTGCAGTCATTATGGCTATCCTGCATTAGTACTTGAACTGAGAGAAGTTCTGCCATATTTAGGGAAAAATCCTTCAGTTCTTTGCAATCCCTTCTTTGTGATAATTAAGTGAAGAAGGGTTGCATATGCTCAGAATCTGTATCTAGAACAAATAAAAACACCATATTGAAAGATGTTAACCCTGTATATGCAGACTTGATGATTGGATTAGATAAGTTTGATGAGTTGACATTCATTATAAGTAATTATTCCTGTATGTGAGTATTATGAAAGATGAAACATTACTACTATCTTATCATAAAAGAATGCATGGGTAGTGCAAACCTTAAAAATAAAACTTGACAATTTTCAAAAAACAACATGGAAATACATACTAATTAACTGATTTCCATTGTTGATTTCTTTTATAAAAGGTCTGCCACTTTCAAAACTTTTTTCCTTCACACTGAACTAAGTAACTATTGTAATCTTAAAATAAGAAATGGCTCCTTGTGGAGATTAGTTTCACTTAATCTTCAAATCTGGATATGATAATTGGGCAAGTCTTTCTACATCTTCATCAAGTTTGGCTGAGGTCTTGTCTTTCCTCCATTCTCTGCTCCTAAACAATGCCTAGAAACTATTTTCTAATGTAATATTCCAACTCAGTTTGATCAGGTGGCTACTAATGTCTAGTAGCCATTATATCTTTCATATGGATGGCTACTCACTGTATTAAAAAGTTGGTCTTTTTTAATCAACAGCAAGATGAATAGCTTTCTGCTTACTATTCAGTCCATTTATTACAGGAATTAGCTCAAAATGTACCTGATATGCCTTACACAGTGCCTTTCCATCATAATCTATTTGGCTTCTGAATTGGGTGATGATGAACTGGACTGTTAAATTCTGTAACTTGATGTATAGTTGGAGTAGTCCAGGAAAATCATACAGTCACATAAGTGGCTATATAGTAGTGGGTAATGTATGTAGACCAGATGGATTCTGCTATTCCATATTTCATAGTTAATTATGTTGAGGGTGAAATTTTTGAGCAGCAGAAGAGAGGAATGGCTGGTTTGATCTTTGCATATACCAATTCAGTTTTTTTGATATTTTATCCTAGGAATATGTCCTTTTGTACATTTCCTATCGGCTTCTTCAAACTTATGGTTATAATCCTTTTGTATTATGTTGATGTCCTTTTGTAATTCTTCAATTTTGTTAGTATAATTCTTCTTACCTATGGATTTTTTGATCTCGTCTTTGAAGAAATTGATGTTATTTTTGCAATTCTTCTGTAAATCATGACTCATTCTTAGAATTCTTCTTTCACATGCAAATTATGAAATACTTTTAATAATTACTGTCTCTTTCTTCTAACTTTCTGTTTCTTAGTAATCTTTTATAACTTTATTCTTGACCTTTTAGTTTTTGTTTTTCTTCTTTATCAACTTCAATTTTTTTTATCAACTGTTTAATCATTTCCTTAACATTTTCAATCTCACTTTGAGCACCTCGTCATCTTGAAGTTGATCCTTGAATTACATTTAAATTTTACCAAAATAATCCCAGTTCATCAATGTTGTATTGGAATCTGTTGTTCAGTGGGTTCTTTTATATTATTTCGTAAAAAGAATAATGGTAAGTATAGCCCATTTAACAATAATGAAAACATTATTATTTTAAGGTCAGCATAACCAATGTCCACCAATATGTCTAACTTCACAAAGAAAATACAGTGACTAAGAGAAATTCTAATTACATGCTAATTTCATATCTCTATTTCTCTATCACAATAAGCTCAATATTTGTAAATGATCTATAGGTTAGTGTAGATGAGAAATTCAACTTTTTAATGCCAATAAGCAGAAATCCAACCATTAAAATAATTTTGCTGTTATCTTTGCTTTTGAAACATGTTTCTGTACATATAAAATATGTGCATAAATAAAACACACACCAGAATAAACATAACTACTAATTCCACAAGTATATTTTTGTACATTGACTTTTTTTTTTAAATACACCAGAAAACCTCTAAATGCATATTATTTTCTGTAGATGTACCAATAAGTCTTTAACCGTCAAGGATAAATTTCATGTGCACATGGCAACTTATTTTAGTTTGCTAGCCTACAGCTCCATAAATGTTAAGCAACTGGATATGAACATGTACTGTATATAAATGAAGCTATTTTTAGTATAAAAAAAGTTAAATGTAAACATACTAATACATGTTAGACCTGTATTAAGAACATCTACATTAATGTACAAGTACAAAGAGATAGCAATGAGTAAATGATTACTTATTCAAAGGTAATTAATGAAAGATAGTGAGCCACATCTCACTGTAAATGGACTTATAATCAAATATTGTTGGTTGGTGTTTTTTTTTTCATTTCAATATTTAACATGCTTAAATCAAACTCAAGATTTGAACCCTTATAATAGATGCTCAGGTGTTAATTATTTTTTATTAATTTGCACTAAAGGGTATTGAAGTGGTAACAGTATTAATAAATTGGATAACTAAAGTACTTGTACACAAGAACAATGTAAAAACATAATCAGGTACCCAACAAAGTTACTGTCTTCTGGAGAACATAAAAGTGAATGAATTAATACTAAAAACATTAATTACTCCCTCAAAACTTAATCTATGTTTTATTAATTTCATTACATAAAAATGTTAAACCCTATAGAAAAAATACTTTCTGGTATGGTTTGTGATTTACACAATATTTCATAGACACAGTGTACTTGTTAATGTACTGATGAAATTATTTATAAAATACACCAAAATAATAATAATTAAGGTTGACAATAAGCAAATCATGTATTAAAATATATATGACATAGACTTTTACTCAGTCATGTCTTCCACCACCACAAATCACATTATTATATAATATTATATTATTATATAAATTAAAGCCAAATCTAACTTTTTAAGATGTATGAAAGATTTAATTATTAGTGGAACTGCAAGTCATTTGTTTCTTTCAATTACATGACCACTTCCTCTGTAGTAATAAGTAGATTTATTATGCAATTACAAAACAAACAAAAAATCATTAATTGTACATTATGTTGTAGTTCTGAAACAAAGGGTAGATTTTGTCCTTTGAATATTCGGACAACATTACTGAACAAATGTATGAACCTTCAATAGTACCAATTTGCATAATTTACTGATGACATCATTATAACTACTATTTTAAATTGGACTAAAACCCTTTTACTGTAAAGGTAGTACATATAAATGAATAAATAAAATTAAGATATAGTTTAAAAATTAATTACATATAGCAGTAATCATGTTTAAATATTTTGAAGAAAAATGCACATTGTTTATGTACATGTATTTGATGTCAGATGCAACTCATATAGCTGCATACAGTAACAATGCACTTCAACAGCACCCTATTGTGGCCAATTAAAATAACTGCAGATGAATTAAGAAAAACAAAACATTATTTGACAGCCATTGTTCCAAACAGGTTAACAATCGTGGTCTTTTCTTAACAAAAAATTATTCATTAATTAAACTTACCTAATAAACAAAATAAATTAAAGTAAAAAAAAAAGGAACAGCATAACACTAACAGTTCTACTGGAAAATAAGTATGGACCTTCAATTATCACAAAAAGTTAAACAGTGTTATTACAGTCACATCTTTTGTTAATAACACTGCTGGTTCAACATATGCCTTAAGGAATAAGGGAAGTGTAGAGTTACATAGATCCTCCTTTTTCAAGAATGAAATTATTTGTCTTAGCTTATATTCTATGTTTCATACTTATTCTACCATTACACTTCACTTATGTCTTATACACTAAATATTCAGTACATTTTAAAGAAGCCATGCAACCCATAAATGTATCTCCCGTGTGCTACAACATAGTGTTCTGCTCCAATACATGGAAGAGGATGTTGAGGTATTTTACATTTAATACAAAAACATTTAAGAAATGACCATTATACAAATCAAAAGATCAAAATTTCCATTTGAATGTGACATTTAATGTATGATTACTATTCAAGCATTGTCAAACTTTTCTGATAACAAGAGAAAAAATAAACCTGAGAGTGCTTGAAAGCTGCCTAATGAACCTTCACTTTGAATTCTGGGCTAATGAAAAAACCTTCAAACACAGCTTTATTATACTAACAACAGAATAGATGTGCATATAAATAAAATAAATATAATAGACTGAGTCAAAAAGAGCTATTATTTCCATTCATATAATGAAATAAATTATGAACTAAATGATAATATATGAAAAAAAAATAGTACAAAATTATCAGAATTAATCAATTTATATAGTCATTCACACCTAAACAATAACCAACATCCAACCCATTTCTTGATATATTCTAGAACTAGTATGGTATGTTCAGTTAAAACCAACCTCCCTTGAAGTGACAGGATAGGTTTGCAGAAAATAACAGAAAATTCAACAAAATATTTATAACAAAGTAATTCTGAGTTCTCTGACTTGTAGAATACTTAATAAACAATTTAGGTTAAGGGTAAAAAGGACTTACAAAGTCACTTAGTATATAACAAAATTTTTCCTTATAATATTCCCATATGGAATATTATTGACTACCAAGCATTTATCTTGTATCTGTTGAAAACCGTATCACTAACTCTTTCAGCATGGGCTCGGTCCCTGGAACCGACCTCTTAACCATTTTGTGCTTGTTATAGTTTTCATGCTATAACTTTTAAAGTAGTAAGCAAATGCTAAGGAAATTTGACAGATTATCAGTAAACATTACGATGCTTTCATACGCAAAATATGAAATGTTTTTATTAACTCTTAAGGTTTATAAAGCAATGTTTTTCTCATGTCTATTTTTTCTTTTCGCATGTT